GTGTTGCTTTGCTTTGTACAACACAGTCCACATTAATTCCTATCCAAACTGTACCCAGTTCTTTTCCCACAACCTTTAAAGGTCCTTTCCTTTTAATATATTTGTCTTTTCCCTTATTCCTGTATCCTAAACCACTCCTATGATTACGCTTGGATACTGTTTGCTGGTCTGCTTACCTATTAATTGCCCAGCTTGTGTCCAGGATCATGTGTCTTCATCTGCTTGTAGGCAGGTACAGTCTGCTTTCTCCACTGCAGGTGGCACTCAACCCCGGAAGACTTCTGGTTATGACGAAACACATTGAGCGGAGCCTCCCTTTTGACATCATCATGTTGGATTGCCATTTTGGACCACCTTTGGGGATTGATGCTTTTTATCTTCTGCATTTGTAAGTGCATTTTCATTTGCTTAATAAACCAGTTGTATTTTACTGCACTATGAGAGGCACCTCTTTATTTTACATGAATATACACTGACCCTAAACATCAGGAAAGCTTGTTGAATCTTGGGCTGTGCATTTGGTTCCAAATAGACGCATGAGTCCGGATGAAAATATATATAAATTGAGAGTGTTATGACCCCCTATAGCAAAGGGGTCTAAGGATCTGGTAAGCCTCAGATTTGATATTACAGTCACGACTATTCACGTTGGTGGTTATGTTGGAATTAAGATTTTTCACTACCTACCACAAAAACCAGAGGACTGGTTTCTACTTTCATGGACTGTTTGTGATTTGCTTTCTATTCATGTTTATTTTTGAGCACTATTTATTTATGTAGCATTGAATGTACATCACTAATATATTGTTTGCAATTGATTGTTCACACTTAGCGCATCACAAATTTATATTTGACTGCAGCTGGAGAGGAGGCCATGAGAAACTTGGTTTCTCTAAGGTTTCCTGGTTTCCTGAGACAGCATTCCGATTGGCTTCATTGCATCCATGTGACCCTGGGCAGCCATCTTGGGTCAACAGAGCCTTTTTAGGTCCCTGTCCCCAGGTTTTGGTGAACATTCTGTGAAGTGGATAGTGCAGGGAAAGAGCTCCTTCTATCAGGGAAAGTGATTAGTGGCAGAGAGTGGTTCCGAATGAGTAGGGATAGGTGAAGGATACACCATCCTGCATCTGAATCCTCCCCATTGAGGCTGGACTGGCCAGGCTGCATTCTGCCCTCTGAGACAGATGTTGTCAGTGCATCAGAAGCAGCTGTATGATCACGTTACACAGAACTGTGAGTGTTTCCCGGTTTGGCACTATCTCAGTGGGCTGTTTGTTAAGTTGAGCCTATCTCTTAACACAGTTTTTGGTTATCTGTGACCAGACTGTGTGATTACTGCTGCTGCACCACAGTACACCTACCCACATACTATCCACAAATGACTTAGTTTGTCTTCTGGTTGCTGATTCTATTCAAGGAAACCCAAAGACTGTGACCTGGTGGGGATAACACAGCCAAGTCTGTCCCCTTTTGTGACAGACAATGGTGACTACAAGGCATTGTTACAACTCTGCTTCTTCAAATAAAACCACATCTACCATTAGTGGCACAGATTATTAGCATCTATATATGACACTATGCTAACCTTCCTTTATAAACTTTTCAACTATCTATAGCTATCATGTAATTAGATTTTAACAATGACTTTGTTAAAAAAAAATAGACTACTCTGGTATCATGCTAATCCATCTTCTGTGAATATCAAAAGACAAATTAACCAACCAATCCACAGTTTTGAATCAAGCATCCATTCTTTTCCTAGATTAATTTTCTTTTTTGAGGGCAGCTCACCATGCTGTTAAAGCCTCATTTTTAGTTGTTGAGTAATATGTTCATGTCTGTGTCTGCTTAAAGCTAGGGAACTATTTATGCATAATTTAACTGGACTAGCAGCAGTGTATCAGGCAGCAGCCATTTCAACTGCTTTGGGCAAACACATAGGGGGTAATATATGTAAGGAGAAAAAGCAGAACAGACAATCAGTATAAGCAAGGGGAAGGGACAGGGTCAGAGAGCAAACTGAAACAATGGACTGTCTCTCACTGGGGTCATTCCTTCTGACTACAAATAACGTGTATATATTTGTTCTTGCCAAAGCCATTATCTGCAGGTAAAGACAGACTTTTTTATCTTGAAGAAAGGCTAAAAATATTGAAATATTAAATAATCTATGATTACACAGAACAACTAAATATAATTCCAGCTTTGTTCAGTTAATGCTGTATCTAGAACAGAGCCTAAAAGCATTTTGAAGAATTTAGACCTGGAAAATAATGTAACATTGTTCTTTATTTTTGACAAATATGATACTTTATCAGGTTGTTTCAAATAGCCATGCACATAGTAGTTACCCACACCATTCAAACAGCAGCTTTTAATATTCTTCTGTAAACAGACAAACTGTAAATTTAGATTGGTTGCCTTGGGTGACTGCACTAGGAACACATTCATTGCTTATTGCCCTGCCTTATGCAAAAACCTAAAATTTCTATAAATTCAGGGGAAATAATAATTGTTTAGTAAGTTTTCCACATGACTGTATACAGGATACATAAGAGTCATAGATATTACATGACATGACAAGTGATCAAGTGAAAGTACCATTACAAATTAAGGGGTATATTTATAAAACAGAGAATATGACATTCACCAATCATTCACTGTAGGTGAGTCATCCTGGAGCATGTTTTTTTAAATAACAGTGATTAATTTATCTCTAGTGAATGTTTGGTGAATTTCACATTCACTGCTTTAAAATATTGGCCCTTGTATGTGGCATTTCAATGTAATAACTATTAATCATCTGCACATTTTTAGTTTATGGTGCAGGAGAAAGGATCCTTTACCAGGCACATTGTTACAGTGCAAATTATTTAAGAAGGAATCATTGACTAGGCCAAATGTTGCAGCGTAGGTTTAAAGAGAACATGTTCAGAATAACTATTATAGAAGAGGAGGCACAAACAGCCGATATTGTGGCCTATAATATTAATATTTTCCTTATTTTTCTAATTTATTTTCAAGGAAGAAAATGCCATCCTACTGTGATTCTTTAGCTGCTTTAAAGAGCTAAATTATTATTTATTTTGAAAATGATGATGAAACCATTTTAATGTAAAATAAAAGTTAGTAATATATTTTTTTCCCAGATAATGTTTTGCATAGTATACCATTCACAGAGCCTTAACATCGAGGAAACATGATTACATTAAAGGGAATTGCATGAATAATTCATGACATCACATTTTGTAATCCTCATGTTAATAAGCAGGAAACCAAGAGTTTATTTTCTGGAAAATATTTTCAAATCATTTTGATTATGTGCATAATGTGGGCTATTAATGCTGAAAGACATTCACCACATTTCTTACTACTGACTAAACAAAAAAAGTGTTGTTTGAAATATTGTCAACTTCCAAACGTAAGTTGAATCTGTACAACAATAAAGGTACTAATGACAACGAAATGCAAACAGATAAATATCACATAGGCAATAGCATATCTATCTAAACAACTATAAACTCATAAAATAGGTGTTAACACGAATCTCTGCCTTCTCACTGGAGAAAAAATGCACAGTTTATTTTCAAGGGCTCATACCTTTTATTTAAAGAATGTATTTATTTTAAAACAACCTCAGGGCTTTATCATTTAATTTATTGTTATGGTGGCATACAAAGAGAAAATTCTGGATGAGATTTGCTTTACCTGCCAAATGATTTGCATTGCTGTCCATTCTGATTTACACAGATCTGCCCCACACAGATCCTTCTAGCAGAGGAGGGGACTTGATCTTTCTCTGCTATAGTTTCACTTTCACTTACAGGTCTCCTCCCTACCTCCACTCTGTGACTGGCAGTGAAAGGAGCAGCAACACACTGATGAGATCATCTCGATGTCATTCTGCTGTTTGCTCCTATCAGCACACTAACTACACCGAAGCCCACCAAACTGGATCCTTGTGCTGCCTCTCCCTCCCCCTCACTGACTCATATTTGTTCAACTTCAATTAAAGCAAAACTAAACCCTCACAATCAACATTAACTATGTTTATTCTTTATGATGCTAGCATTAGTAAATAGATAGGAAGTTATATTATATATTACCTTGTTTTTAACTTTTTTTCTTTACATTTCTGCAGTAGCAGCCTGTTTTCTGGCCTAGGCCAAATTGGGATTTTTTTTTATCTTTCATCTGGGAGGGGGGAATTTTCTCCTTTAGGCACACCCAGCTACCTGTATGCCTCAGATAGGGACAGATGGATCCCAGGAAGAAAATGCTACATGAATCATCTACCCTTTCTCAAAATGGCCACAGCTAGAAATTCTAATGCACCTGATAGGAGACTGAATTAATGAGGTTGGCATCTCCAGCCCAGGCCCCACTTAAGGTGGAACAGATGATCCTAAGGGACAGGAGGAACACAAGTACTGGCAGGTGTTGATAGCAGAACTTGCAGCAGGAGATGCAGGCTTGGAAGGTTAGGCAGGACATCAATTCAGGAGCAGAAACTGTGCAGGGTAGACCAGCCGAGGTTATAGGGGTATTCTGCATAAACTGCAGGTTCTGGATGCGTGGCTTGTCAAAGCTCCCAGCAGGCTTGAAGAGGAAGCATGCTGCAAAGACTGGAGTAGAAATGAGGGACAGCCAGGGTAGGCACTCAGGAGCAACAGAGCCAAATCAGAGACAGAAGCGTAGTCAGAGGAATAGCCAGGGTCCTCAATGGTCAGGCAATGAGGTACAGAAGCATTGGCAGAAACGTAGTCAAGAGCAAGCCAAGGTTAATAGCTGATGGGCAGAAGCATAAACAGGATCCAAGGTCAGGTCAATAACAAGACAACAGGGATAATGCAGGATGCAAGCAGGACACAAGGAACAGATAAAGGCCAGTCATATGACGGATGCAAAGTGGTTCTCTCGTTCTGGGAGGACGTCATATGACGTACTCCCATTCTCACCTCGCATGCGTGGCTCCCGTAGCATGCTCCACGGCGATCAGAGGTGCACTGTGTCCCTCAGACATAGCGGATCACCGATCCACGAAAAGAGCCGAAGTTGTCGGCTCGGTCATGTGATCAGCTGTGTCCAATCACAGCTGATCACATGTAAACAGGGAAATGTTGGCATTCCTCGGAGGGGACATGTACACAGATCATCAGAGCACTGATGATCAGTGTGCCCTGATGATCTGTGTAGCCCCAGCAGTGCCACCTGTCAGTGTCCATCAGTGCCAGCTCTCAGTGCTCATCCATGCCACCTGCCAGTGCCCATCAGTGCCACATCAGTGCCACATTTCAGTGCCCATCAGTGCCACATCAATGCCACATATCAGTGCCCATCAGAGCTGCCTTTCAGAGCCACCCATCAGTGCCAGTCAGTGCCACCTTCAATGCCAGTCAGTGCCACCTATCAGTGCTGCCAATCAGTGTCACCTATCAGTGCCGGTCAGTGCCACATATCAGTGCCAATCAGTGCCGCCTATCAGTGCCAATCAGTGACGCCTATCAGTGCGCATCAGTGCTGCCTATCCGTGCCGCCTAACAGTGCCAGTCAGTGCCACCTAACAGTGCCAGTCAGTGCCGCCTATCAGTGCCAGGAGAAGGAGAAAAATCACTTATTTACAAAATATTATAACAAAAACTAAGAAAAAACTTTTTTTTTCAAAATTTTCAGTGGTTTTTGGTTTGTTTAAGAAAAAAAAACCCAGAGGTGATTAAATACCACCAAAATAAAGCTCTATCTGTCACAAAAAAATTATAAAAATTTCATATGGGTACAGTGTTGTATGACCACGCAATTGTCATTCAAAGTGCAACAGCACTGAAAGCTGGAAATTGGCCTGGGCAGGAAGGGGGTATAAGTGCCCTGTAGGCTAGTGGTTAAATAGGCCATCTGGCACCAAGGGAAATTGTGGACATGCTTCTGCATGCACACGCATTGCTGCAAGCATGGGCAAGCCTGTTTGCCCTTCCATGGGCACCACGTCCCTGCGCTCAACATCTTACAGTAGTTCCCCCACAGAAATGCTAGGGAGTGTTTTTCAAAGTGGTTTCTCAACATAATATAGCCTAGAGCCATGTATGGATGGGTCAATTTGCTTTGAATACTAAAAATGAATTAAATAGTGATTTCAGTTCATTATGTTCAAATACAGTTACACCCAAAAACAATGTCCATGTGCTTGCATACAGGCTCCTATATGCACAGTAATGCCAGATCAGCAAAATCTAAAAAAGGGTCAGAAGCAAAGATTAAAATAAAGAGCATACAAAGGAAAAATAATCCCAAGAGAGAAAAGTTGAAATTGGGCTTTGATATGTATTAAAATATATTTCATTTGACAAATATCCAATCTGATTTTACTAAAACAGTACACAATAAATTATTTATACATGAGAGAAACAGTAAAGGATGATCCACTATGAATCAAATGTCTTCTGTATATTTAAGGAGAACACTTGTCCATTCTATGAATAATCATCTAGCACCATAAAAGTACAACAATTACTGTAGGGTTTCGGAGACTCAGCTGATTACCTTTCATGGAAATCACCTCCGTGCTGGCAAGCTCTAGAATGACAGCGTGACAGACCTCATGCTGCATGCTGGAAGATGTTTTCCCATTAGAATAGAAAATTAGCCCATGAGAAATAAGATTTACATGTCCCCGTGAATTCAATTTAGGATGGCAAAAAAAGTACATTCACACTTCATCTGTTTTAAAACATACGGGGTACCAACTGGTAAAACATTTGCAGGGGCAAATTACTACTTGTTCATTAGTTGCTGAATGATAGAGATAGATAGATAGATAGATAGATAGATAGATAGATAGATAGATAGATAGATAGACTGTATCCTGGCTATACTATATGTGCTTTTATTTTTTCCAGTGTTTCAGCAGTCAGCATTAATATTCTGCACACCAATTATTACTGCGGAGTATCTCAAGCTGCAATAATTGTATACCTGCACCATCTGTGGCTTCCCTTTAAACAAATCTTCCTGTGGACAGCTCAAGGGCTGTTATGTGAGGTCAGAGGGATCCCCTGCTGAGACAGCCACATATTTTTCTTGTTAAAAGAAACACAAGTTGGCATGTGTATGTCAGAGACGTTCCTTGTGATTAGCATATCCTGAACACAGAAAATAAAAAGAGTATCGGGCATTTACATTTACATGGGGCAATCAAACACAGCACTGGTGTCACGTAACATAAAAATGTCTTGCATAGAAAAGCTTGAACAGTTTATATGGTAATTATCTAGTTTTATGACTGTACAGGACCTAACTAATAAGGAATAATTCACATGAAAATAGTGCAGGCGCGCCAATTTAGAAGCATATGCAGAATTAGTCAGTTTATTGTGTTATTAGCACTCACATTTTTAATGTGACAAAGAAAAAAACAGGACACTGAGAAAAAAAAATTAGACCTCCTGTTTGTTGCTTTATATACTGTATCATGGGGAGGCAGTGAACCAATGGTCTACAATACACAGTTGAATAAAATGTAGCATACACCATCTCAAAAAAAAAAAAATACAAACATTAAGAATCAGTATGTAGTGTTACTGTTGACAAAAGGAATAATGATTGTACTAAAACGGCTCCTTTGGTTCATGAACATGGCAATTACCAGGACCTCCTAAAATAGAAATGTCTTGCAAATAGGAACTACTCACAGTACCATTATGTGATATGCGACAATAATTTAAATTTGATTATATAAGACCAACTAAAGATGACCTTCCAGATTACAGACCATTGGTAATAGGTAAAGCAGCAAAACATTGCTTTTCAACGCAGAATGTTTTAAAGCACAGCTTTCAGTTGGAGTTTAATTTTCTGTAGCCATTGATTCACATCACATAAAATGATTCTGTTCCCTTCACAAGCCCTCCTCCCACTACAACCATCATTGCTCAAAATGACATCCTAAGATTCAGAGATATTACTATGTCAGTACTAGCTGCCTTGCAGGAAAATTCATCGACTCTTCCAGTCAGTGACACACTGTTATTTTTTTTCTTTTCTACTTCCCTCTGATCAACTCTTCTTTTATATGCATGTTATGCCCGGTAGGGATTCAACTGCAAATTGTATAATCGTATCCGTTATGCTGCCTTTTTTAGTATAGGCTTGATATTGTTCAAAATTTTGGAGACATGTAGAAATTTGTTTAAGAGGCTAGAAAACATTTTAAAAGCAAACCAGTTGTTAGATGTGTGTCATGGGTACGTTTACATATTTCTGTGATCATATACTTTAATATTATCCTGATAATGGAAGCTGATCTGTGATAGTGTTACGGGTTTTAGATGATTTTCAAGAAAAATGGAAAGCCCCGGTTTACCTGGTACAGGTAAAAATAGAGTACTCATCTGCCACAGCCCCTTTGTAAACAACAGAATTACTTGCATCCCATTGTTGTACATGCTACCATTAAAGCCCATTTCCAGAAATACACAACTTGGATTTATTTTTAATTATGAATATATTTGCCCTTTTGCAAAATGCCTTTTGCATGGTCAGGTGACATTGTAGGGTCCTCTTTTCTTTTTTTTTCTTGTTCTGGGTGGTCTTCAATATTCCAAAGGGCAGTGCTGATGTAATGATGTCAGCACCATTCTCTGCACCATTGTATCACAGAACAGCATTGTATCACAGGGTGTCATTAAACCCAAAAGAGGATTGATGTTGAATTGCAAAACAGGTCTGTAATGACAGCACCGAGAAAATGGTGAGTATTGCAGTGAAAGTTGATTTTTTTTTATTTTGATATAGTGCTAGGCAATAGAATTTTTATATTTTTTTTCTGGCTGGTTAAACAAAATGCAATAATGGCATATTGGGTTCAATGTATTTAATGATCACACTACAAAACCAATACGTGCACCGCAAGTAAAATCTGAAACTTAGCTGGGGTTATAGTAAAGCCAAGAAGGTTTGTAAGGAGACAACTCAATGCTGCACACAAAAAAGCAGATATTTTTAAAATGCTCCTTGACATACCATTTACAAAATGTATTTTATAAAAAGGAAAAAAAAAATCACCAAAATATTTTTATTATGCTTTGACAAAGGTACTTCACAGTTCTTGACTATAGGAGGAGGCCCTGGCAGACTGGATATTCAGCATGTGCTGGTCTTAAAGTGATACTCCAGTCTAGGTTGTAGCATACTAGGTCATCCACTGGAAGGCAATGCCTTTTGTCTATCTGTTTTCTTTTCAAAAGTAGTATCCCTTTGTAATATATATATATATATATATATATATATATATATATATACCGTACAGTATATATACAAATACAAGGGCTAATGTTGGAATGTTGGTGGAACCGTTTCAATTCAGCAATAAGTTAGATTCAAATATGACTTGGAAATTTCATTCTGATTGATAATTCATGAAGCAGTGAAAGAAAGAATCTTGCAGTACAAGGTCAAGAAACAGAGAAACAGACCCACCTACTCAACATGTCAAGTTATATGCAGCCTGGCCTCAATTATTCTATGCTTAGGTTAAGGTATATTAGGTGGATTTTATGCTGCAATGTTTCCTAGTTTAATGCTTATGCACCTCAATACAGGGTATGCTGGAGATCTAGAGTGATCAGATCGATTTATTGCTCAAAATGGCACCCATTCCGCATACTACAGCACAGGGGTGGACTGACAACTCATGGGGCCCCCGGGCAATAGGGGATCATGGGGCCCCCATGTCCTCGCTCACACCCAAAAGCCTATGAAAAAGCCAATGAAAGGTACCAGGGGCATCACAATGGGCCCCCTACTGAGCCCCCTACTGGGCCCCCTACTGGGCCCTTCGGGAAGTGTCCGAGTGTTGGAATGGTCAGTCCACCCCTGCTACAGCATCAATATCCAGACAACATTGTTGCTATATTAAGATGAAGTATTTCATTCAGTGGCAGTTTAAGCGCAAGTTCTAATACATGTAGTTTTTATTTAAAATATTATAAGACTATGTGATAACATAATAATCATAAACCCCCTCTTGGAATGCTCCAGTTAACATAGTCTTGGCCTTATTACAATTCCTTTGTTTCAAGTACTTAATAGCACAGTATCAACTGCTGCTGTAGCCATTGAGGCAGCCTCAGCTGGAGGGTCCTCAAACTGCTTTTTAGGAGATTTCATTGGATTCAAATATAAGTATTCTTCTTGTAGCACAATGGAAGTAGGTATGTCATGTCCTAAGTAGGGAAGAGTGAATGGATGCAAGGTTTCTGCAGTAGGTTCTGTAAACCCAATGGAAAGTCCGTAAACACTGAACTTAGAGCTGAACACCATTGCAATCTATTTGAGTCAAATCTTTAAAATCTTTTTCTGTTCTCTTTCAAGGTTCATTTGGAAGCTGTTGTTAAAAAAGAATATGGGTAGAGGGCACTGTCTTGGAGTGTATGGACTAATGCAAAAAAAAAAAAATTAAATACCATAAAGCAGGAAGAGGGCATTTTTATATGGCCTTAACAATAAAAAATACACAAATCCTTTAACCCTTTCTCTGCCAGCAAATTTTCCA